AACATATTATCTTCTATTCCTGGGCATGATGGGAAAACACAGGATGGTAACAAACAGAATGAAATCATCACCTGGGGGAAACTCTAGGACCCAGGTCTGCCCCCTGTGAAACTTCAAGTCTGTCTTGTCTGCAGAGGTCAGTCTTTCATGGATCACCCACCAACTGACACTAGAAGTTTGTAACAAAAAGTCCTCCCCAGAAATAGGAAGAGCACAGCACTTTACAGCCCCGGGGCCAAAGGGCTCTTGTGGTAATTCTTCCCCAACCAGCAACCACAGATGCCTGCACTGAGGTTACAACTTCAGTCTTCTCTTACATACACCTGTTGCTGCTTTCTCACGGCCTTGCTCACTTCCTTTCGTTTCCTGGAACCCAGCCACAGGCTACAGCCTGACCTCATGTTATGGTCTCTGAATAGCATATATTTACCAAGAGTTACAGATGTCTCTGGAGTCCCTGATACACCCTTGTTTTACTCAAGCTGACACAAGAGTTCCACAGAGCACTCCAGATACATTTTTAACAGGAGGCAGGCAGTAGATGGCAGGAGAAGGGCTGTCACCTTATGAACAGGTTTTCGAGAAGGTTTGATTAGCTTGCAGGTGGCAGAAAATGAACTGCATGCTCCCGTTGAAGAAGTGTTCGAATCCGGGAGATGTTCTGTGGCGGGCTCCTCTCTGATTGAGACCAGCATTAAGATCTCATTTCCCTCTTCAGAGTCCCTGTTAAAGTCATTCTCAGGGTAGTGACTGGAGCCTGCCATTTTTAAGGATCACCTGGGAGACCACACAAAGGCTATAGAGATGCGATGTCTGCAGGTCACTGGGACTTCCTTCTTTTTTTGAGGGTGTAGCAGGTGGCCCTGCACCGATGTCCATCCCGACAGTAGTGAGTGGATTCAGTGGGTATTTAAAATACTTGGAAGCCAGGCATTGGCGGTGCACACCTTTGATCCCAGCACTTGGGAGGCAGAGGCAGGTAGATCTTTGTGAGTTCAAGGGGCAGCCTGGTCGACAGAGCAAGTTCCAAGGCAGCCAGGGCTACATAGATGTTGTTTCAAAAAAATAAAACAAAGAAAACAACAACACGAAGGAAGGAAGGAAGGAGGGAAGAAAGGAAGGAAGGGACAAAGGAAGGACAGACTGAAGAAAGGACAGAAGGCAGGCAGGAAAAAGTGGTAATATAGTTGCACTATTTTCAAACTGGAACATAGGTAAGCAATTAGAAGGAAGGGAATGAGGGTGTGGTCTATCAAAACACATGATATGCACGTACAAAATTCTCAAACAATTAAAAAAGCAAAACTAACTTTAAAAGGTAGAGAAGTCAGGTGGGAGAATGTTGTAGGGCATAAGAGGAGACAGAGATAAAACGGGATGGATATGACTGTATTTCATTGCATATACATAGGGCATTCTCAAGGAAAAAGATGTTTAAGAAAAGCTAAAGAGATCTCTTTAGAGGAGAAAGAAAAGGCAAGCCTGAAACACCCACCACAGTGCTATGCAGCTCTGTGTGGCCATCAGCAGAGAGGACGCTGGGCTGTACGCTCTCTGCCTTCACCAGAGATCCCTCAGTCTCTCGCTGTTCTGTGCATTAATGAAACCATCCTGTGTGCCCTGGGATCTCCTGGATTTCCCTTCTGGGGTGAAAAGGGATCCTTCAGTTGTTTAGATCCCCTGCCCACTCTGAAATTGAGTTGTTTGGTTTCTTACTGCTGTTCTGTGTATTTTGGATACAGAATTTGGCAAACTGTTTTCATGAAGAGTGTAGCTTGTCCCTCAAGCCTCTCAGTGGTGCCCTCCAGGGAAGAGAGTTTCTAATTTTTATAATGTTCAGTTTGCCCATTTTTTCTATGTCATGGAACTTGATTTCTTCATGCTGAATATAGAAGTTTATTGTCAAGCTCAGGGTCCCTAGAGCTTTATCTGTTTGCCTTTTAGACATTTGGCCAATTTGTGTTTACATCTGCCATCCATTCTGAGATAAATTATATGTGTGAGTGTGTGTGTGTGTGTGTGTGTGTGTGTGTGTGGTGTGGTATATGGTATGTGTGTGTATGTGTATATATTGTATGTGGTGTGTGTATGATGGGTATGTGTGGTGTGTATAGTGCCTGTGGTATGTTTGTGTGTGTGTATATACAGTGTATATGGTGTGTGTGTGTATTTATGTGTATTGTGTGTGTGTATGATGTGTGTGGGGTGTGTATGTGGTGTGTGTATGTGGTGTGTGTAATGTGTGTATGTATGGTGTATGTGTGGTGTGTTTGTATGTATGTATGAGGTATGTGTATAGTATATGCCTGTCTGTGTGGTGTGTGTTGGGGGGTGTATGGTATATGTATGTATGGTGTATGTGTGATTTATGCTTGTCTATGTGGTTTGTGTGTGTCTGTGTGTGAAAAATGTCTGAGTTTTATTTCTCTTGTTGTTAATCACCAGAAGGAACTTGGAGAAAAGAGGGTTTATATTTCATCCTAGAGATTACAGACCGTTGTTGAGAGATTCAGGGCAGGAAAGTGAAGCAGAAACTCTGGAGGACCACCACTTACCAGCTTACTTACCTAGCTTCTCTATATAGCCATGTTCCATCTGCCTAGGGACGGCACCGTCCATAGAGGGCTGGGAGCCCTACATCAATTATCAGTCAGGGAAATGTCTTTTAGAGTTGGCCGCAGGCCAATCTGTTCTGGGCAATTCGTCCGTTGAGATTCCCTCTTCACAGGTGACTATAGCTGTTTATCAGGTTTTTTTTTCTCTTTTCTACAAATAGATACCTGTTTGTTTCAGTAGCAGTGCTATAAAAGGCTGTCCCTTTACCCACTAAACTGTCCCAATACTGTATTTGCGAGCATTTGTTTATTATGTGTTCCATTGGTCTAACTTTCTGGATCACTATGGCACTATGGTATGGCAAGTACTCTCTTATCTTGAAGCCTTGTTTTCAGCTGTTGTACGTTCTTTACCCCTCCTAAAGTTTGACACTATGTACAAAATAGCTTGCTGGGGTTTTGCCTGGGATGACTTTGAACTCAGAGATCAGTTCGTAAGAGTTGCTACCTTACAAATGTTCAGGGGTCTGACTCGTGAGCTCAGCGTTCTTCTTGTATTAGTTACTTTTTATCCCTGTGTTAAAATTCCATGACCAAAACCAGCTTATCAAAAAAAGAGAGTTTATTTTGGCCTTTGGTTCTAGAGAGCGGAGTTGGTAAGGAAGAAGGCATGGCAGGCATGACAGCACAGGAGCAAGCAGCTCAGATCTGATCAGGTTTCATCATGACAGGAGGCTGAGATAGCCCACTCAAAATGGTGCAAGATTATAAACTCTCAAAGCCCACCATTTGTGGTGTACGTCCTCCAGCAAGGCCCCATCTCCTAAAGATCCCACCTACCCAAACAGCGTCACCATCTGGAGACCAGGTGTCTAAACACACAGAAGATGCTTCTCAATGAAGCCATGATACCTCTCCATTTAGTTACAACTACTTCTGTGTCTTTCATTAGGTTTTTACAGTTTTCTATATATAGATCCCATACATATTTTATTAGAACTATATATAGCTCATATTTCGGGTGCTACTGTTTTTTAAACATCAAATTCCATTTGTTCATTACTGGTACATTGGATGGTAACAAACAGGTGTATTAACTTTGTATCTTGCAACCTTGCTGAATTCGGTCACGAATTCCAGGAATGGTTGATTTCTTTGGCCTTCTGGTTGTTGGTTGGTTGTTGGTTGGTTGGTTGGTTGGTACTTTCTATAAACAACTTTGTCAACTGTAAATAGTCTTTTTTCCCTTTCTCTCTTCCCTCTCAATGGCTATAATTTTTCTTGCTTTTCTTAGCTAGGTCTTCTAGGATCAAGTTGAATAGGAGAAAGATTATTCTTTACTGACTTTGGATGTTAAAAGGAAGACATGCGGTTTTTCCCAGTTAGGACCGATATAAGTGGTAGATGCTTTGTTGATGGTCCCGTGTCAAGGGGAACATGAAGACTCCTGCAGGACTTTGTCAGATGCCTTTTATGTGTTGATGGATCTGAACTTTCATCACAGAGATCTGCCTGTGTATGCCTCCCCTGTTACAGACTTTTGTATTCACATCCACGGAGTGAGACTAGACCTGTAAACTGATAACCCTTTTCTCCCTGAGTTGCTTTTTGTCATGGGGTCTTAATGAAAGCAATAGAAAGCAAACGAAACTACTGTTTGTTTGTTTGTTTGTTTGTTTGTTTTTACTGAAATCATTCTCTGGTCATTTACAAATACTAATATATAAGATAAAAAATTAACCATTTGGAAGAGGAGAGGTGGAAACAGAAGGACCCTGCTTATTGGTCCTTACCATCAGAAGTTAAGCATTGGACACTCAAAGCACCGTTTTTATCTTTCATGTTGAGTGGGATATTGTTGGCGTATTGTGCTTTAGTACATGGTACAGGTTGATGCCTGTTGGTTCCAGGTCAGGGCCTAGTACTGTTTTTTTTTTTTTTCTTTTTTTTGGTTTTTCAAGATAGGGTTTCTCTGTGTAGCTCTGGCTGTCCTGGAACTCACTCTGTAGACCAGGCTGGCCTCGAACTCAGAAATCCACCTGCCTCTGCCTCCCAAGTGCTGGGATTAAAGGCGTGCGCCACCACTGCCCGGCTCTAGTACTGGTTTTAATGAGGATTCTTTGTCAGTCACCTGTGTCCACCAGTGGATAAGACTGCCTCCCCATGGGTCATTGCTAAGAATCCCAGCATTAGTGGAGTGATAACTGACACGTGTATCCCTACAATAGTATCAGGTCCCCACAACCAGTCCTTTGCTAAAATGTCCCCCAGATTATTTTCTGAATTTGAAAATGGGTCATTTACATCCTGGATTCTTCATACCCCCACCCTGGGGCCCCTGGGCATTCTGGGATTTTTCCACTGGAAATCCAGGCTCTCTCTGGTTGATTTACGTAGTAGGATAGTGCAGGCCAGTTTCTCACTCAGGTTATCTGATTCCCGAAGGCTCTGCTCTGACCAATGGAGGCCTGAACCTACACAGCCCTGTGAAGAGGAAGCTGGAGACGGAGAAGGACTACGTCTTTGACAAAAGGCTCAGGTACAGCGTCCGCCAGAACGAAAGCAACTGTCGGTTTCGTGACATCGTGGTGAGAAAGGAAGAGGGCTTCACACACATTCTCCTGTCCAGCCAGACTTCGGACAACAATGCGCTGACTCCTGAGGTAAAGAGCTTTTGGAGGAGACAGTTGATTTGAGGCCTCCTTCTCCTGGCCTTGCCTTGTCCTGCACTTGGTTGTTCCTAATCTCAGTGTAAGCACAGGGAGTTAGCAACATGTCTGGGTGTGGACACACTCTAGAGCAGTCGTTCATAACCTTCCCAATGCTGTGACCCTTTAATACAGTTCACGCTGTAGTGACCTCCAACCATAAAATTATTTTCATTGCTACTTCATAACTGTCATTTTGTCACTGTTACAAACTGTGACGTAACTATCTCTTTTCCCTACAGTCTTAGGCCATCCCCTGTGAAAGGGTTGTTTAACTCCCAAAGGGGTCATGACCCCCAGGTTGAAATCTACTGCTCTAGAGGACCTGTTCATCCAGGTTGGCATTGATAGGATGGGTTGGTGTCCCTGGTGCATCTGGCACCCTCAGGAATGCCCATGAAGTGGTGGTGGTGGTGTGTGGAGAAGTGCCATATCCTTGAACTTGTGACCACGTGTCTTATATGATTTACATGAACAATGGCTCTTTTATGGACTTGTGGGTGTCACGGCCCAGAATGATTGACAGATTGTGAGGGGGAGGAGCTGACAGGTGCCTTTGGGTTTACTTTGGTTACTATTGCCCTTCTGTTGTGGGTTGTCCTGATGCTGTTTGTATTCTGATGTTAATTCTGCTTCCTCAAGAGGGGTTGTCCCCAAAAGAGCTATCCATCACATGCTCAGTTGATCTCATGTGAACTTTCTCCCCATTTTAATGGTCAATAAAGGCTAGAGCCTGTGATTGGGCAGTGGAGGGGAAAGGTAGGACTGCAGGTTTGAGAGTGGGGCAGGTAGGGAGGCAGAAGAGGACAGAGGGGAAGGAGAGAGCTCTGAAGAAGAAGAGGAGGAAGAGGAAGAGGAGGTAGAAGAGGAAGCCATGTGGACCAGAGCCACATGGCCAGGAGAAACCACAAGTAGCAAGGGGTTTTACAGCTGGGGAATTAGTTAATATAGTCTTAGATCTGCCCAATCTAGGCATAGAGCTTATAATTATAACAACTGAATTGTGTGTTTTTTATATGGACTTCTTGGGGTTGGGAATTCTAGCAACACCCCTCCTCCACACATAGAATTTGGGGGATGGGGCATCCTCATCTACTTTGGCAGGAACACCCAGGGCTTCTCTGTATGATCTGAGATGTGGGCTCCCTAGTGGGCGACTCCTCATGGACACATACTCCTGGAACCTGTGTTACTTTGAGTTCACTGTGACACATCCACACAAGGCCCATTCTTCCTGTGTTCTTTTCTACTTCACTGCCTTTAAAAGGCTTTTTTAAAAGGCACATCATTTTCCTTCCATAAATTGAATCAAGGTGACACCTCTCAGTTCACTCCGTGTCTGTGGAACAGCTTTGTGTGGTAATGGCTGCCCACTCATCCCAGAAGACACACCGTGCTTCACTGATCTGCAGTATCCAGGAGTGCTGCCTACCGAGCCATGGGCTTGGTTTACCATGGCCTGCGTTCCCGATCTGCATCAGTCAGTTACAAGAATGAGTTATGGTTCCAATGATTTCAATGAGCTGGCACCTTGGGTACAGTAGTCCCTAAAGAAAGATTCCACGGAATCTAAGAGGTGGGGTTTGGAGGAGGAATGGTGATTTGGGAGTCTAGCAACCTGGATTCCAATCCTGGCCCCACTTCAGTTGCTGTCTCTGTTACCAGGGGGAGTTACTGTGCTTAGATACACCTCCTGTTCACAAGAATGGTACTTCATCTTCTTTGTAAGATTAGAGACAGTGCATGCAGGTACTCAGGAGCAGAAATGTCTGGTACCCAAGGGTGTCCTATGTGGGCTCTCGCTGTTACTAGGATAGTCACAAGCAGGCCCACCTTGCTTGCTAGTGAACAGACTGGAAGGGACCCTCTCCTGGTGACAGTTGAATTTCTTCTCCTAGCTGTACATGTGTCATTGGGTGGATTGACCATACAAGTGAAAAATCTGTTTGTCACTAGATGAATTGACTCGATTCTGAGATCAGAGGGTGTGTTGTGATATTGATCGGAAGGTGTGTTGTAATATTTTCCTTGTCAGGAGTATAGCACAGGAGTGGGAACAAGCCCCTCTGAAATGAGCCAGTGAACAACGTTCCACAATTCAAAGCTTGTCCGCGTGCCTCCGAGGAGAGGGACCGAGTGGGGACCTCCAGCTTCTGATTGATTCTTCCAGCACTTGAGGCCTCAGCCAGCAGCACCACCAGTATCCACAGCATTTGAGGTTCCCTTTCTGTTGCTGTGACAAACTGATTGAGCCAAAAGCAGTTTAGCAAGAGAAGAGAGTTTATTTCGTTGTACACTTCCAAATCAGTCATGGAAAGAAATCAGGGCTGGAGCTAGAGGCAGGAGCCTGAAATCAGAAACCCTGGAGGAATGCTGCTTTCTGGCTTGGGCTCATGTTCAACCAGCTTTCTTACCTAAGGAATGGTGCTGCCCAGAGTGGACTGTGCCCTCCTATGCCATGCTAATTCCCCTACCAGACATGCCCACAGCTAATTAGACAATTCTTCAATTGAGGCTTCTCCTATGCTGGGTCTCTATGCTGGGTCACGTTGACATCTAAAGGTAATGGGGACACATAGGAACAGGACACAGCCCTTTTGTCAGATCTGGTCATTCAGATTTTCCTCAAAGCCTGTCCCCTTAATTCTCTCTGCTGTGCGCTTGTCTCTCTCAGACTCAATTTCTTCTAGATTTGCCTATATAATTTTCTTTCTGGATACACTTTTCTCCTGCTTAAAGTCTACGTCTTTGTAGTTATATTTCAAGAGTCTTAAGTGTAAGAAACCTGTCCTACTGAAAAATGCCCAATTTTTGCCTTTGCTACTGAATGGTCAGTTTGATTTGTGAAGAATTTGTTCTATACACATTTTTCTTAGTACATCGACCACCCATGCTTTCCTCTCATGCTTGCTAGTCTCCTTTAGAACTATCATCTGGTCAAAGGTCTACTTTCGAGGTAAGCTTTCTTTTGCCTCTGGATATTTAAGTTTTATCTTTGCTTTATATGGGCTTTCCTTGTGGTTCAGAATTCAGATCAGTATTATTAAATATCCTTAGACCCTTTCCCCACCCCGCAGGATGTTCCTGTCCTAGTTCCAGACCCCAAGATGATGTTAAGTCACATGTCCAGGGGCATAAAGTTTTCTGAAGAACTAAAGGTTGTTCCTCAGCTGACTTTGAGATGAAGAGATTGATTTTGGAAGGGACGATCTCCCTGGTCTCCGTGTCGCTGCGGGGTGTTTCGGGCAGAAGAGGAAGACAGAGAGTCAGTATCAGAGAGAGGCGGAGTGAGGAGTGAGTAGACTCACTGTCTTTTGCTAGTTTGGGAGATGAAAAGTGGAGCCAGGAGCTAGGGAAAATGCAGGCAATGTGTTCTCCCTTACGGCCTCCAGGTCTGGATGCAATCCACTTTCGTCCATTCTCAGCCTGTCTCAGATAGGCGCTGCCTGTTCTCTGTGACAGCGAAGGCAGCTCCTTCAGCACCTGCTTTCACCTGGATGGCTCATCCTCGCTCTTATTTGGGTGTTCTGTCTGTCTCTCCGATCTGGGCTCGGGGAGACTGCTTCAGATTTTCCAGTTTTCTCATTCTCCCTCCAGCTCTGTCTAGTCTGATGTTAATCTAGCCAGAGATTCATGACTTTGCTCTTCATGGGCTACGTTTCCTCTCTTAAATCTTTTCGTTTCATTCTCTGTTAGTCGTCGTCGTTGTTTGCCTGTCCCCCTTCCCCCTTTTGGCCTTTTAAAGTACAACATATTTTATAATGTTATAGACTCTTAGACCAATATTAACTTAAAGTCATCATGTCCTTCCCACTTGTGTGCCAGTTCACATTTCTGAAATGCTTTGTCACTTCCTTGTGAGCCCATCCGCAGTGGGGATTATTGCCCTGTGAAGTTCTCCTGTGGCTTGGGTTTCGGTTTCTCTGGAAAGCACTTCTATATTCATATTCATGAAATGCCTCAGGGACATCTCTAGCTCGTATCCCATTTCCATATCAGTCAATTAATTAAATTTTTAAAACACTTTACTTTTTACCACACACACACACACAAACCTGAGTGTGGTTGTGTATACAACTTCAGTCTCCTCAGAGGCCCTGCTCCTAGAGCTGAGGTTAGCAGCTTTGAGCCTCCTGACACAGCTGCCAAGCACTTGAGTCGTTTGCAAGAGCAGTGTGTGCTCTTGACTACTGTAGAGATGGCTTATCTCCGTAGCCCTTTCTTCTTGTTTTTGAACTTGGAGATTTCTCTCTCCTGTGGTATTACAACCTCGTGTTGGGGTTTTAAGTTCTCGTGGGAGATGTTACCTACAGAAAAAGCTCAGGCAGCTTGTTCTGACTGTGGTGTGGAGGACATGTGGTGGAGCGGCTGAAGGAAGGGCCATGCTAGTTAGTATTCGATTTCCATGCAAGTTTCCTGTTCAGGAAGCCTGCATTTTGCATCCTGGACACACCAGCTGCAAGTCATCCTGAATGCCCAGACTCTCATGAAAAGTGTAGGTAGCATAGGCCATGGTTGTGACAGGGCTGTGATTGGAACGAGCCAGAGTGTGGAGGGCCACAGGTATGGGTTCATCCCATGCCAGCCTTTGAAGTCCTGGATGCTCCATCTGCTTCTTGGTGTGTGGGGCATGTGAGAGGCCGGGCATCAGCTGCAGCTGCTGCTTCCGTGACGACCTCAGTAGCCCGGGAGAAAGTGGCTCTGCTTTCTCCTGCGCACTGACTCGATGGCCCACAGCCAAACAGGAGGTTCAGTTGTGAGAGCCAAGGTGCTTCAGGCTGACGCTTCTAAGTCGGAGAACACAGCAGTTTGTTTTTGAGGTTACAGCCAGAAGCTATAAGAGTTACTGAGTTGCCACGGGCCACTTTTGAATGTCTGCCACAGAGGCACTGTGACAATCTCAAGAATACAGCAGGGGCTAGGAAGATAGCTTTCTGATTCTTGTTCAAACCATGGTCTAGCTGGGGCAAACAATTGAAATTCCCCTGTGGTAGCATGACAGGGAGAGCAGGATATTCATAATCAAGAATTCACTATTCCTCTGAAGAACGTGAACTTTCAGGTGGCCTGTCATTTATTGCTCACCTGGAGAGAATTCTAGACAGATCCCGAATCTTGTGGATAATCCACGGCAGACTGTGAGCTTGGTCCTGCCTCGATGCTGTAGCTTACTGTGAGCCACCTATGATCTCTGCAAGGGTCTAGGGAGATAAACCAAGAGAAAAATCTAACTGAGACAGCTAGAGACTTAATGTAGCTCACCAAAGCTGTGCACAGGGTCATTTTCCCACACCTTGGAAGGGGTTCAACCAGCAAATACCTAAAGTTGGTCTGCAGAAGTTCACAGAGATGCACCAAGTCCACACCAGGCTCCCAGGTCTAGACCAGTAACCCCAGGACTTCCAAGCTGATCCTTCTGCTTACACTGAAGGTGTAAGATTTTGGGTCAGTAAAGTTTCTTTCCTGGGGTTTGACGTGTGCTTTCATTCAGGGGAATCTCTCAGACATTCAAAGCTCTGCAAACTCACCTCTGCCTGCAGATCATGAAGGAAGTCCGGCGAGCACTGTGCAATGCGGCCACAGACGACAGCAAGCTACTGCTGCTCAGTGCCGTGGGCAGTGTGTTCTGCAGTGGCCTAGACTATTCCTACCTGATCGGCCGGCTGTCCAGTGACCGGAGAAAGGAGAGCACGCGTATCGCAGAAGCCATCAGGTGGGTCCGGCCTCTCTTTAAATGAACCCTTTGGGAGCCTGCCAGTGATGACCAAATTTAGCAAACGAAAGTACAGGCTGCCCAGTTATAAACTTATTTCAAACAATGTGGGATTTTTATTTTTAGTGCAAGTATATCCTTTGCAACATTTAGGACACCAGGACATACTTATATTTTAAAATTACTGTTGACTTATCTGAGATTTGACTCTTTTTGATGCCAGGGATCAAACCCGGCGTCTTGTACATGCTGGACAAATGCTCTACCATTCAGATCCATTTCCGTCTCTGAACTATGGACATGAGCTGGCCAGCCTTACGTCTTGCCTATGGCCCCAATGGTACGCTTTGCTCCCTAGGCTGCATTCCATGGCCACCTCCCCGTTTTTGTTTTTTTTTTTTAAAAAAAAAGAAGACATACCTATCTTTCTCACGAAGGCCTGCATTGGCAATGCCCGTGATGCTTTCTGCTTTTCTGTGTCCTGGACCTGATGTGTCTCAATTACTAGGGAGAGGGTAAAGATACTGTACAGCTGTGCATTGCTAGACACGGTGGGTGGCGATTGCTCCTCTCAGGGTCAAATGTGGGGGGTCTTAATGGTGACACACGGGGCTACTATTAGTAACCCTTTCAGGACTCAGGATAATTGTCTCTCTGTTGGTCTGTTTGTTGTTTTATTTTTGTGTGTGTTGGTGCCTGTGTATATGTGTAGATACATATGTGTGCATGCAGAGGTCAGAGGTTAGAGGTCAACCTCAGATGTTCCTTGCCCCACAGGCTAAGCTGGCTGGCCAGTGAGCCCAGCACACCTGTCACCATCTCCCCGGCTCTGGGGTTACGAGCACACCCAAAAAAAGCTGTGTTTTTTTTTTTTTTTTTAAATACATGGGTTGTGAGGATCAAACACAGGTCCCCGTACTTGTAAAGCTAGCACTTTGTTTTTAACCCACTGAGCCCTTAGCCCCCCTCCTAATTATTTATAACAAAAGCAAATGAATGAATGAATGAATGAATGAATGAATGAATGAATGAACTCTCCAGCCAGGTCATTTAGCTGCTTGGTGGCTGTCATTCACGAAGCCTCTCCAGGAGAGACTTACTTGCTGTCGTGCCTTGCTCAAGGAAACAGAGGAGACACAGCTGAGTCACAGCCTGTGATCTCAAGACCAGGGACATTTACTCCCTGTCGGGTCTCGGAGCCTCAGGTAGCGGGCTGTGGATTGTTCAGGGTCTCACCATCCTGTGGATGATCCCAGCAGAGGCTGATTCCCGTGCCATCACTCGGGGAATCGGAGGATGCAGTGACTAGCATGAAGATGTCCCTTTGTGTGAATTCCAGGTCCAACTTTTGCACAAAGTGTTGCTCAGGAATGCCTGTGTGCTTCCCCACGAGGGAACTAAGAAGCCTGGACCCATTCCTGCAGAGAGATGGAGGTGTTGATGTCAGTCCCCATCTTCAGGGTGCAGCCAGCTCCTGGCTGTGAACCTGCAGTTTCTGCTTTGCCTGATCTCAGCTGTGTCTTCTCAGCACTGGCTTTGCATGAGTTGAAGGAGCAGCAGAACCACTACATTGTAATGATTCCTTCTTTTTATCAATGGGGCCACCAGAGCACACCCCAGGGACTGAAGAACCCATCTGTGACCCTAGAAAGCCTAGCTCATAGTCTGCACCTGGATTTACTGATCCCAGTACAGGTGCTTGTGGTATTTCTAGCCCCAGCAAACATTCAAGGTCTAGCACAAGGTTGTCCTTCATGCAGGCAGAGCTAACTAGCACTTGGACCTCTTGTGCCAGAGAGATAGAGCACTTCCTAATCTATTCAACCCAGGAAGCTCAGTTAATTCTTTGTTTGTTTGTTTTTCGAGACAGGATTTCTCTGTATAGCCCTGGGTGTCCTGGAACTCACTCTGTAGACCAGGCTGGCCTCGAACTCAGAAATCCACCTGCCTCTGCCTCTCAAGTGCTGGGATTAAAGATTTATTTATTTATTTTATGTGTGAGTACACTGTAGCTGTCTTCATGCATACCAGAAGAGGGCATCAGATCCCATTACAGATGGTTGTCAGCCACCATGTGGTTGCTGGGAATTGAACTCAGGACCTCTGGAAGAGCAGTCAGTGCTCTTAACCACTGAGCCATCTCCCCAGGCCTGAGTTAATTCTTAATGGAACGAAGTCCAGAGTCCTGAGAATCGGAGGCTGGAGTAGCCTCTAAGTGGGAGGTGATGGCATGCAGCTGGGTATGAGAATAGGAAAGGGGATGTGACAGAGACTCAAGGAGGGCAGCTACCAGCCATGGAGCACCCAAGAAGGCTGGCACCATCAGCAGGTGAAGGGGGGGGGTGTCTGGAAAGCACCTGCCTCAGTGCCCAGAGTGGACCAGGACCTTGATATTCAACTTCTTGTCTCCAAGTACACTACAGAATAAACTTCTGTTGTTTGAAGCCACGGTTTTTGATCACTGTCATAGAAGGCTGAAGTTCTCAAGGAAGGCATTAACACTCAGAACACTTCCGACTTTCTGGGCTCAGATATCGGGTCAGGTCCATCCCATCCTTCACTCGAGCATACACTGGCACACACACACACACACACACACACACACACCCCTTTATGTTTGGGACTGCTGTTCTGCCAGCTACAAGTTCTTAAATGAGCCTGACTGTGGAGTAGGCTTCTGGAGATCTCTCTGAGGCTTCAGATGACAGTTGCCATGTATGTCTGGCGCTCATAGACCCTGCACTGCCTGACATAGCTCTAGCTGTCCTGACTCTGGTTAAAGGGAATGGGCACCAAGGTCACAGGGAAAAAGCAGTTGCTACAGATGAAACGGAGATGTCCCTGGTGCTAGCATTTTGCTTGAGTTTTCTCTGGGCTAGAAGAATGCACCACAGACCACCATGAATCAGATGAGAGCTATACACCGAAACATAGGCCCGATCATAGTTGTCTGACCCATTATTCCTGCTGGACACTTGCTATCCTTGTTGAATTCTCATTTTTCAACATGAGTATCCAGTGTTGGTCTTCCCATTTTATAAAGGGAGAAAAATGAATCTCTAGAGGCAAGACAGCTTGTCTAAGATCTGACTGTTAGTGAGGGACAGAGTTGAGATTTGACCTGAACTGTCAGACTCCTTTGATGTTCCACACCACTTTCAAGCATCCCATCTGCAGATACAGGGCTTGGGCTGAGCAGAGGGAGTTATCTGCAAAAGACCAGAGTCAGTCTCATGGTCTCTGATGCTGGAGAAAATACAGAGCGGTCCTCTGAGCCCAGCCCTGCCACTGAAGTGGGATCAGATATCTGAGCCTCAGGTCTGTAATGCAATATCCTGTTGGCTGTTTGACTTCTGTATCCTCAGGGGCCCTGTGATAGAGATCTCACACCTGAGGTAAGAGAAAGGAGATGGGGGGAGGGTCCCACACACCACATTTACATCAAGGAAGTGAAACTGGAGCAGCTAGTGCTGGAAGGCCAGGGCTGTATGGGCTTCAAACCCATCACCTCTTCTTCATGGTCCCTAATACCCACGTGCAGAACAAAAGTCTCGGGGTCCTGAAGTGGAAGCCTCTGGCAGGGATGAGGCTTGCAGTAAGTTACTTAATGGTTTCGTGTGAGACATGAAAATATCAGCAATATCTACCTAAGACCCACACCCCGGGGGGGGGCGGTTTAATAGTCATGGACGTTCTGTACCTGAGAGCATCTGACGAATATGGGGCAGTGTGTCAGGAAGGTTGTGCTGATGCCCTTGGGATACTCAGAGGGAGTGTGGACTGAGAGGAAGGTGTTGCTTGGAGTTTAAAAGTCTTGCTGTATCTCAGATCCTAGATTTTAGATTTGCACAAAGGTTCTTAGAAATGAGATGTCTGATGAAATCCAACCAGCTCCTGACTCCCCTGGACTATCCACAAGAGTTCCAAATCCTTAATAGGCTCAAATTGCATGAGTAAAAGTAAGCCAGTGATCTAGCCTAAAACCCAACCACGAGGGAAGAGAGGATCCAGGAGATGGCCACTGCAAAACCAGTCGTCAGAGGTCGATGGTATTGGAATTCTCTTTGAAGCAGGGCTAACAGTGACCACGGTGACTCTGTCATCACAGTCAGTATGACATGCAAAATGCGGTCAAAGCTGAGTACTCCCTTTAAGGTCCCTCCCCCACCTTAGCAGAGTATAAAATGGATCGTTCCTACAGGAGAATCTGATTCCAGCTTATTGCTGTTGTTCTTGCATCTTTTGATAAATGCTAGGAGGGGAAACATTGTCAACAGACGGTATTGACTCAGCTCCCTGTATGAGTTAAGCATTAGCTGATATAACAAATAAACTCCCAATATATAATGGCCTGGTCTTGATCAGTGTTAGGAGGGGCGTTATCAACAGATGGTATTGACTCAGCTACTTGTGTGTATTAGTTAAGCATTAGCTGATATAATCAATAAACTCCCAATATATAATTGTTCAGCAGGACCAGAAATTTACTTCTTTTACACAGAAAAGTAAATAAGTGTACCATCCATTCCATGGCTGTCCTCCAAACAGTGGCTTAAGAATCCAGACCCTTCCATCCTGTGCTCCACTGGTATCCTCATGCTCAGTTAGACGACAGGGCTTGGAGATTTGCATGGTTCGAGGTGGGAGGCTGTGCTCACTTGGAAGGGTGTATATAGTCTACACTCAACGGCCAGCCCTTGATGACTCAGCCATAGCCAGTTACAAAGAAGCCCAAGAAATGTAGACTGTTAGTAGACCAGGAAGAAGAGGGTACTGAGGCAGTCTTTGTATCTCTTCTAGGAGACAGCCTATTTCTTCAATGGCTGTTTATGGGGTCCTAATTTCAAAGTTGATGGAAGCCAGGCAATGCCACAGGACGGTCTGTGAATGTCCCTTGGAGCTAAAAACAGTAGAAAGATTAATAAAAATGCAATCGGACTATCAGTAGGGTAATTGCAAATTGCGATGGTGGTGGTAGTTCCCAGTCTTCCTTCCAGGAACAATGAATGCTAGCTTCACTAGACGTCTTGTAACTTCTCTCCATTCCCAGATGAATTTTAACATTTTATAGATCTTGGATAGCAACTAGAGGAGAGGCAGAGAGCATTTAAAAGCAACAGAAGTCATTTCTAGGGGCTGGAGGGATGTCTCAGCAATAGACTACTTTCAGCTCTTCCAGAGGTTCTGGGGTCAATTCCTAGTGCCTATGTGAGGCAGCTCATGACCGTCTGTAACTCCAGCCCCATGGGATCTACTGCCCTCTTCTGGCATCCAAAGGCACCTGCACTCATATGGTGCACATACACACACACCAGCACGCGCACACACATACACACACAGAGTGAAGAATCATTCCTGGTAGCCCTGTTTTGTAGTTAAATATTCATGCTATAACCTTGATGCAGGATGTCAGCAGAGTAGCATCACTCTATTCCCTAGCTTTGAGTTTAGTAGCTTCCCAGTGGGAGCCCAGCATCCGTCCCCAGTTTCAGTCAAGGCCCTCCTAGCGTTAGACCTTCAGAAGCACCGTGGAACCAACCTTGATGACTCTGGCATCTCTGTAGGTAATTCAGAAGCAGACCATCCCAGGATTGGAAGGAATCTTAGGTGTCCCCTAGGGCCTGCCCATGTACACCATCTGAAGCTTGAATTCCACTTTCAACGTCACTCAAAGTGATCATCAAGCCAAAGCCAGATTTCCTCTAAGAACAGTGAAGTCATTCCTCCCCAGCCGCTGCATCTTGGTCTGGGATGTTATGGTCATTTGTTCTCCCCTTGAGGTGGAATTACCCTTGAGGGATACTTCTGAAGGGAACCTTCCTTTAGCTCTTGTGTAGAACTGTGGCCTGCTTGTCTTCCTTAATATATATAAGTTTTCAGTATCTAGGGTGCTCAAAGAATTTACTGTTAAGGTCATGGCTTTTGAATTTAGAGGGGAGGTAAAGAGAGCTACGCTGACATATCAGGCATGGACTAGGCCAACAGGGTGTGTACCCACCCCATTCATCCCTTCTGAGAACCTGGCAGCCCTGTGTTTCTATGAGTAGGGTATGTGGCCTATGGTTGGCCTCCACCTGCTTCCAATGACCAGGAATTGTGCCGTGGCTCCTGGGAGAATCGGGGGAATCCACAGACCAGCAAATGTAAGCCATTAAAGATGGTCTTTTCTTTCTCCAGGGACTTCGTGAAAGCCTTTATCCAGTTTAAGAAGCCCATTGTGGTAGCCATTAATGGGCCAGCATTGGGCCTGGGCGCCTCCATTCTACCCCTCTGTGACATCGTATGGGCCAGCGAGAAGGCCTGGTTTCAGACACCATATGCTACTATCCGACTCACCCCGGCTGGCTGTTCCTCCTACACCTTCCCCCAGATCCTAGGTGTGGCGCTGGTAAGCCTCCTGTTTCCTCCATAACTTCTCAGTCTGAGATGCATGTGCCTGGACCTCAGCAGGACCCTTTTCCTGGCGTTCAAACATGGCAGTGTCCTATGAGTAAAACCCAGGTATCTTTTAGACCCCATGAATCTGCTCTGGCATCATCCTCTGTTGTCCCAGAATTGCTGTGACTGAAGCCAGGCAGATCTCAGCCAGACAGATCTCAGCCAGACAGATCTCAGCCAGACAGATCTCAGCCAGAAAGAAAGGTCTTCAAGCTCTTGGTGTCTAATGGAGTAGCTGAGCTAAGATGTCAGTGATGATGCCTACTTAATATTTACCTACTGTGTGCCAGGTGCCGTGCACATAGTGTTCCCTTTATTCCTTATTATTCGCTGGTAAGGCTGTGTCTTTGGGAGAGTTGAGCACTGCAACCAACAGCCATAGTTATCAGAGTCTAGCATGGTGGTGGCAGGACAAGTCTAGTCACAGTAGTGATGACAGGACATAGAGAACATTCACTGTGCATTGGGGCCACACACAACGCCATGAGGACAATGGTTGTTGTCACCAGTGAACATGTGTAGCAGACCAAGGCTCTGATGAATAAGGAAGCTATCTAAAGTGTGCAGTGGGCTAAGGGATTTGCTCAGTTGGTCTCAAGGGCTTGCCTCATAAGCATAAGGACCTGAGTTCAATTTCCAGAACCCACATAAAAAAGTCTTGGTGTGGTGGCAGATGCTTGTAATCTCAGGACAGGGGAGACAGACAAACTTGGGGGTTTGCCAGTCAAGCCTTAAACTACCTGGTGAGTTCTAAACCCGTATGAGACATCCATCTCAAAAAAGAAGGTGTTGGTACCTAAAGAATGATCCCTGAGGTTATCCTTTGACCTCTAGATATGTGTATATGCACATGCACATACATGAAATGAACTAAATAAAGTCATGTGGTGCAATGGTTGTCCTAGGACCATGATCCTCAACCTTATTGTATGCTATGCCCCTTTAATACAGTTCCTCACGTTGTGGTGACCCTCAACTATAAAATTATTTTTGTTGACCCTTCATCATTTCGCTACTGTTGTGAATCATAAAGTAAATACCTGGCATGCATTTGCAATATCTGATGTATGCAACCCCTATGTATGAAAGGGTCACTCAACCCCCGAAGGGGTCACGACCCACAGGCTGAGAACCATTGTCCTAGGGTTTGCATCTCTGTGATTCACCACACAGTCTGTGCTCTCTACCCAGCCTGTCATAAAGCAGAAGGACAAATGAGGAGTGAGTTTCAGAGACACACAGACAAGGCTGGGGGTTCAGACAGTGCACCTGGACCAGGCATGTGTTAGAGGTGGCCTTGGCACGCAAGATGGTGGGAGGAAGGTGGCATAGGTGACCAGGCTGACCTGAACCGTGGGCCATACCTATCAGGGAGGGTAATGCACATTTCAAGGAGGCCTGCATGGTGACTGCAGGAGGCACCCTACCAGCAGGTTATGTTGTAGGTTATGGGAGAGCCTATAATCTGCTAGGATAGCATAACCCGAGTGAAAGGGACAACCCTACAGCTCTAAGTCAAGAGTACACCATCCGATGCCCTCCTACCTTGTCACGTGGGTCTCTCGTTAACTGGTTCAGTTTCTGAATAGGCTCCAGGGTACCTCTTGGAGCTACTTATTACTAATCCACCTTTAAGCAAGCCCCGGCTATCCCAAGGCAGCCTGTGCACTAGTACACTAGTGAACTCTGATGGCTTCCGTCTGTCTAGGTGCTCTGGAATCCCTGGGCAGAGGGCTGTACAGGGAGCTTTACAAGCAGGGTGGGGGTGGGGTAAGGTGTCCTAGCCTGCCTGTCATGTGAGAGGTTGAGTAGCCATATCTCTTCTGCTTTATTAGTGTCCTTCCCTGCTCCTTTCAAAATTGATCTCACCAGCAGTAATAAAAACAGTGTCCCATCATCATGATCTCTGGACCACACACCAGCTGTTGATCTGGCACCATCTCCAATGATCCAGCCCCAGCTAGAAGCCCACAGCCATAGCTGTCAAATGCCTCTGGGATGGCAGAGATGCCTATAAGGTTTAAAGGACTTGCCCAGAGACTGAATCAGGACCAACCTTTACGTTGATATTTTCTTAGCTCTAGCTTGTGTTATTTGTTCTTAGTCGTCCTTGTCAGCGAGCCCTTGGCTTAACCAGCTGCCTGAGAAGTCCCTTCCTTGGGCCTCTAGATAAGACCCATGTTTCTCTTCAAAGAGAACACTGGAAGGACACTGTTGGGGATGACTGGGAGACTCCCGTGTACTCGGAGAGCCCATGTGCCTCCCATCTGCCATGGTGTAGTATCTCTAGGTTCACAGTGTAGGTACGGGCAGGTGTGTATCACAGTCACAGCCAGATGCCACTTTCCCCAGCTTCCTTTGAGGACATGGAAGATGGCCATTCTGTTCCAGCGAGTCCCTACCTCTAATCCTGTCTTGATTTAGGCACCACATTGTCTATGGAGCCGACCAACAGGTGGGACTTAGAAGCCGTTTGGACTCGAGCCCTATAGGATGTCTTGGGTTACTCTTAGCCTCCCTGGTTGCGGCTCAGAGCTGGGAGGTGACACTTTCCCATTGACATGAGCCCCATGCCCTCAACTACGTCAGCTGCTCCCCGTTTTTATGGCCATAAAAATGTTTAAGCTGTCTGGTATTGTCTCTGCCTTCCCACCTATACAGTCTGTGACTCTAAAAGTGTATAGAGGAACATGTGTTCTCAGCCGAGTTCTGTCCCGGTGAGGGAGAGGAAGAGAGAGATACTCTAGGGTCCCAGAGTCTCCTTCAAGTGTACAGCTTGTCAAGGGGCCCAGTTCTTAAAGCTTCACCACTTCCCCCAAAGAATCAAGCCAGGGACCAATCCATGAGCGTTCAGCTTTGAGGAACATGTAAGGCCCTGTAGCACTGCATAGGACAGCTGCCTGTTTCGAAGCAGAGGGACTCCTTTGAAGAGTTGGGTGCAGAGGCAGCCCAGCTAAGGAAGGTGTGCACCATCTGTCCTAACTACATAGTGCCTGGTCCCCAGACCACTGGACGATATTTCTCCATCTTGGTATCATGATCCTTGGGTTCCTAATGCTGCAGATATTTTTGATTGGCACATATATTGTTTTTAAACTTAATGGTTCTTCTGATGTTTTTAATCCTCCATCTTTCCATCTCCCTCTCCTCCTTCCTTGTCTCCGCACCTTCCTTCTTCCCTCAGAAATCAATTGTCTTCTGAGAGGAGGGACTTGTCTCACATTTCAGCTGGAAAGTGCTAACGTGTAGGTTAGATCATCCCCTCCTTCCTGGACCAGTCTTTACAGGGCAGGCTACTCACACTAAAATGAACGTCCAAGTCCAGTGCATACCCACCCAAGGTTCAGCCGCTGGCGGGGAGTACTGTCAGGTTCACGGAGCTTCAGCAAACCCATTGGTTTCTTATGACAGTTTAATAAAAGCTGTGACAGATGTTTTTGTATGCAGTTTATACAGTGTCTGACCCTAGATTCCAAATCCAGCCGGAGAGCAGAGGCACTCACGCCCAGCTGGTCCAGGGCTCCCTAGAGGACATCGGCAGAGCTCTGTGCCCTCAGCTCTCTCCTGCTTTTGCTCTTTCAGGCCAATGAAATGCTGTTCTGTGGGCGGAAACTCACTGCCCAAGAAGCATGCAGCCGGGGCCTTGTGTCGCAGGTCTTCTGGCCCACGACATTCAGCCAAGAGGTCATGCTGCGGGTGAAGGAGATGGCGTCTTGCAGTGCTGTGGTGAGTCCCTGTGTGATCCCTGTGCTTTCCTCATGAGTAGATGATTTGTGTGTGTGTGTGTGTACATGTATGTATGTACATATGTGTATGTGTATATGTGTGCATGTGTGTATGTACATGTGTGTATGTGCATGTACATGAATGTTCATGTGTGTGTATGTGTATACATGTGTATGTGTGTTGGCATGTGTGTACATGTATGTGTGTACATGTGGGTGTATGTTTGTATGTATGTGTATATGTATGTGTGTACGTGTATGTGTGTACATGTGTGTGTGTATTTGTGTATATGTGTTGGTGTGTGTACATGTATGTGTGTATGTACGTGTGTGTATGTTCATGTGTGTGTGTGTGTACTTATGTGTATATGTGTGTACATGTGTATACATATGTATATACATGTGTATGGGTGTTGGTGTGTGTGTACATGTATGTGTGTATGTGTGTGTACGTGTGTACATGTGTACGTGTGTGTGTGTGTGTATGTGTGTATGCGCATGTGTGCAGGTGGAGTCCTTAGGCCAACTAGGAATTTCTTTCTAAGTCGCCTCCACCTACCTTACTTCTTAAGACAAGACCTCTCACAAAACCTGTGGCTTGCCAATTTGGCTTGACTGGCTGGTCAGTGAGCCTCCAAGGGAATCCTCCTGTCTCTACCTCCCCAGTGCTAGGATTGTAAATGTGCACCATCATACCCAGCATTTTACATGGGTTCTGGAGGATCAAACTCAGGTCCTCGTGCTTATGTGACGACTGAGTCATCCCTACCGCCTCCCCAGGGACCTACAGAGCCAGTGAAGGGTTTTCTGCAGTGTGGGATTTATTGTCTCTTGGTACAGAAAGCCTAAGTTAGAGGAAGAGGCCCAGGATACTGCATAGTCTTATCTGTGCCCAGTTAGAAGGGGCTCATGGGAAAGGTTTCCACTCTGGAATAGCAAGCACGGTGTTAAGAGAAACCCCTGAATGCCTACAGCATCACCAGAGCCACAGGTCAAGGGATGGGACCAGCCCAAGATGAGCAACTAGAGCATGCTCCCCTGTGTTTGATTTCTTCTGTCCAGCCTAATGCTTGACACATCTAAATATTTCCTTTGGACTCTGAGCATTCAGTAAAGAAGAGATAAGTCACACCTTCACCAAGGTGCCAGGGTTTAATTAAATGGTTTTTTTTTTTAAATCTTATTACATAAACTCTGAGTGAGCACAAGAGGAGACTCTCCTATGGGGAGAGGGAAGAAAGGCTAAAACGTGGGAGTCTGAGGACCAGTTCCAGTGGGTCACAGACATTGGAGGAGAAGGTCCTGCTCTCTTATCCTTAAGAAACAGAGTGCTGGTCTGCTCTGTGGGCCACACCCTTGACCTCACGTGCCTTCTCCCTCCACAAGCATTCCACTTTGATACCAAGATTCTGGTGATGTGGGCATTTGCTCTGTCTCTTCTCAGTAGCCATTTATTGTACACCTACCGTGTGTGTGTGCACACACATTTACTGTACACCTACTGTGTGTGTGTGCGCACACATTTACTGTACACCTACTGTGTGTGTGTGCACACATTTATTGTACACCTACTGTGTATGTGTGGACACACATTTATTGTACACCTACTGTGTGTGTGTGTACCCCAACAAGAGTGCTGCTCATGATGGTCACGATAGTCTTCCATACTGGTGGATGCCTGTGCACCTGATATGAGCCTTGTACCTTACCGATTCTATGTAGATTCTCTTTAACTTACGGCTGGGTTAGTTACTCTCCCTCTTTCCCTAAGATTCTCTGTGTTTCAGCTCTGAAAATCTTGCCAGGAAACCTTATGTTCCTAGTAAACAGGCATGCTTAACCACCTGAGGGTCAACCTCACAGAGAGAGGCAGGGGGAGAGGAGAGTTCAAACAGAGGGTATGGGAGGCAGGAAGTCTAAGTGTCCACAGGCATCTAAACAGTGGCTGTGGCCATTTTGCGCAGAGGATGTCAGGACAGGCCTGAGCTGCCATGGGGAGTGTAGTCGGTTCTCTGGGAAAGGGAAGCACCCAGGTGAAGCAGCTGTTTCAAGGATAACCAAGGGGACCAATTTGTAGGAGCGGCCCACTCAGGAGAAACTTCTCCACCAGTACTGTGGACCCAGGAACTTTAGGTGACTTCCTGAGAGAGGACTCTCCCTCAGAGTGAAACCCGCAGCCTTTGGAGGTAGTGCCCTTAGGAGAGAAAGATTCCAGGATAAGAGGTGTATAGGCCCTCCTAATACCCAGCAGCCTCTAGTCCATGCTGGAGTTAAGGTCCTTCTAGAAGGCTGGCACCTGAGAGTCTGCCTCTTGCATTTGGCTGTTTCAAGGTGCTTAGAATAATGAGAACCTGGGTCTTGACCCCTGGGGAGGCATTGTCATGGTCCGAGGATCAGCCAGATGAAGTTCCTTGTGGCACTGTTGAATGATCCAGCCCTGGGCCCGTGTTCCCTTCTTAGGGTCCTTTATCTACAATGGGGGTTGAGGTCTGAACTAGAGATACTTGAAAGAGATCAGAAAAAGAATATATCCACGGAGCCTGCTCATCACGGCGCGGTTTTAATACTACAACAATTGTTGTCCAGTACTAACAACCGCTAGCACTTATTACTCTAGTATCAGTGTGATTACTCACTGCCGTCTTCCTCTGTCATTGCCTGTCGGTTCTGTGGGTATTATGTTGATTACTGAGTTTATTACTGCTCATATCCACAACCGTTGCAGTGCCTGCTGAAGATCGTTACTATGGTGCAACATTATTCATTTCTACAATTTATGCGGCTATTACTCACTGCCACGATTGTTACAGGCTGCCGCCATTCTTACAGTGATGACTGCTAATGGTTCTTGTTACCCAGGACTACAATGAGCACCACTATCAATGGCTGAGCCTGAAAGAGGCGTGGCTATAGGTAGCATCCTGCGGATACTCCAACAACCATTATTAGATCAGCTCACCTCACCTCATTCTGTGTTCAGAGGGACCCTTGGGTTGTGTGTTCTTCCTGACAGGTTGTGCAGAGGGCTCTATTCATCCATGGGGTCGGGTCAAGAGAATGGTTTGCAAACGTGGTCATGAAACCCATAGGCAAATAGCACCAAGAGGCTGTGGACTCAGCTCCGTGGGTAAAGTGCTTGCAGCCATGGAGACCTGCGATTGATATTCTAAAATCTGTATGCATAGGATATGTGTGTGTGTGTGTGTGTGTATGTGTGTATGTATGTGTATGAATGTATATATGTACATGTACAGGTGAACGAGTACTGGGAAGGCAAAAGCAGGTGGATGACGAGCTCACCAGCTAGCCAATCTACCCTGTCTGTAAGCACTAGATTCAGTGAGAGACCCTGTCTCATAAAATAGATGAAGAGGGGTTGAATCACATGTGCACCTACAAACACACACACACACACACACAAGGTACCAATCATATGTCACCTTAGGCAAGGCTCCCGAGCACCATACTTCTCTCCCCCAGCCTTGTCATGGTTAGAGGCTCAACACCTTGACCACCTGAAGCCCCTCAGGACAATGCTGCTAGGCAGACCCTGAAGACCCAGGCTCAAGATTAAGCTCCTCCCTGGCTGTGAACACTGCCGGGCCATAGAGACAGAGGTCATCCCCAGGCCGGCTAACCCAGCATGCGTTTCCTTCCAGGTTTTGGAGGAATCCAAATGCCTAGTCCGAAGCTTCCTGAAGTCTGTGCTGGAAGATGTGAACGAGAAGGAGTGTCTCATGCTGAAGCAGCTCTGGAGCTCCTCCAAAGGCCTGGACTCCCTGTTCAGCTACCTGCAGGACAAAATCTATGAAGTCTGAAGGGCCCCAGCTCACCTGCCCCACTGCTCAAGGGTCTCTGACTTGCAGCCGGGCCCTGTGTGTGTTTCTACCATCGGAGCCCAGGGTCCACCCTAGCCAAGAGTTTGTCAGGGTGTGTCTTTACACCTACGGTTGTATCCATTTCTTGTGCCCTTCGGTTGTTCCTCATTGGTTTGATTTTGTGTAAAGGTGGGAAACGCAGCACCCTTGGCCTCCCTGTGCCCCTGTCCCAGCCAGCCATAGAGCCTTCCAGGGATCCATCTGCCCAGTGCTCTGCCAGGCACTGTTTGTTGACCTTTTCCCCCCACTAGCTGAAATGCTCCTACCGTGGTTCAGAAGGGGAAGACCAACCTCCCTCCTCCTCCCAACTCAGGCTGTGTCTACACAGTGCCTGCAACTTGGAGATGAGGCCACCACAGTTCTCTGGTTATGTGATCTAAGACCAGGGGACAATCATCTTAGGGAATTCACAGACCAATGAGCGTGTGGTAAGCACTCGACTACATAGGCCTGGCTTCAGTCTTCTCTCCAATGCAACTCGGTGTGACTCTTAGGGCTTGGTCTTAAAACCCAACTGAGTGATTTATAAACCCAGATATTGTACATTTAGAAATGTTTTGTTAAATATATATTTTTAAAACAACGTAAGTGGAAATTCTGATAATTTATGTGTATTATATGTAAAGCTAGTTTTGCAAAAAAAAATCATGACTTAGTAGGAAATTTTTTTCTTTATTTGGGTTTATTTTATTTATTTATTTTTGTTTATATATTATGAAGTCTATTGTTCACACAGATCTTATTTTCATACCACCATGGACCAAATACTATTCAAGGTGCACGCCGTTTGGTGCGTTCCTGTGGTGAGCCACGTGGAAAGAGAGAAGATAAGAAAGGATTAAAAGAGGCACAAACCTGTCTCAGATCAGACCTTCTGCGTGCAGCTCATGTGACAAAATGCCAGTTCTCTAATGTTCGAGGACAAGTCATGGTGGCGTTTTCTCTTTCAGTCACTATCATTCAGGAGAATTGGAGGATTCTTATCAGCCCCGTCCCTAAATGCGTGATGGGGAGGAACCCATCTTTAGGATGATGTATTGCCAACGATGAGATTTTTTTTTTCTTTTCTTTTTTTTTTTTTTGCTCTGGGATAAATAAGTGAACTTGGATTTTCAAGACCTTTCCTTCCATATGGACGTTAATGTCTTGGTTGGCCTTCTTGGGGGTGTTGAAGAAGAGAACTCAGTTTCAGGAGTTTCTTTACGGTCCAAACATGAATCTTTAATTGTTTTTTTAAGCTGGGAGAATACAAGGAAAGCCGTATCCAGCATGGAGGTCTCCTTGCCTCACTGGCCCTACCCTACTGGAGCCTCTAGTAGCTGTCATAATGTTATCCAATCAAAGTCCCTGGATCTGCACAGAGGGAGAGTTTGTGTCAGTTTATGAAGAGACAAGAAATGGAAGGGACTCATTGTGAAGGGACCTCAAACCTATTTGAGATCATGCGCTCAGAGAAACTTAGACCATGGGGAGTAGGATGCTAGGTCAGTTCTAGATGGAATACCACCTTGACTGCTGTTCTTGTCAATTCCTTTTGAGTTTCCAGCCCTTCTTTGGTGACAGCGGGGTACAGTGCAGAGTCAGCACAGTTTGTGGAGGGGAGGTGGGCTGCAAAAGTAGAGATGGTTCTTTGGCTGCCCTTGCATGGGGATAGCTGCCCCGTCACAGGTGGAAGGAATGCACGGCCCTAAGCTTGGAATGAAGCAGGCAGCTGAATGTTTTCATGAGAATTAGTGAAGTGGCCCTCTCCACAGTGGCTCCCACGTGCTCTTGGCCTCGTGGGCCTTAGAAGGACGTTGCTTTGCTCTATAGAAATGCTTTAGAGCTCAGAAGGGGCTCAGGAAGAGAAGAATTTTACTTCTGTTTTCTCCACCAGCCTCTTCCACCTTGGCCAGGAGGAGCTTGAGAGTACAGTCCCCTTTGTTTTGGTCACAGGAAAACAGAATTGAAGCATGTGGCCCCCTGGAGTCCCTATAGAACACTGGAGGAGCTGTGGACTGGGGTGTAGAGAGTTAATGCAGAGCACCTGAGCCCATTGGTGTCCCTTCACCATGGGATGAGCTCCATGTACACTTCCCCCACACCCTTCAGACAGCTCTTGCTCTGTACATGTCTGAGTAACTCTCTACTGTTGCTGCCTCCTCCATAGGAACTCCTAGTCCCATGCTTTCTGGTTAGCTTCCGATCAAGCCAGTTTTGTCCGTAGGGGAGCAAGTTGTCAGGGTTCTTTCTGGAAACAAAAGGAGAATGTTTAGAAATTCCTGTTGGTCAGAGTTCATCTTCAACTCCTGTTGACGCAACCAGATATGCTTTATCTTCGGGCGTTTGATGAGCACCAAATTCTGGGACCCTCGAAGACTGAGGTGGACATTGACTATTTCTGAGGTAGAATTCACCCTGCTTGTTTTTAAAGACCGTGGTTCTGTCTGTTTGAAGCGGGTAGCTCTGCCACATGGCCACAAGTTGTCTAGTCAACCTGCTGGGCTGGGAGTTGGTATTGTTTCAGGCTGGCTGTTCGGACAGTGTGGAGTTGAAATCCAGATGACCTCCATACAGCATATTGAGCTGAATGAAGAGTACCCGTTCAGTGGTTGTGTCCGGGTTAGCCTAAAAGCTTTATTGAGGTAGGGTGCTGGCTCCTATCTTTTACTTGATACCCCAGTGTCCTTTCTCCTCTCATGTGGTCTCCCTGCTTCTCCTGTTACCTTCCTATTTCCTTTCCACACCACCCTTTCCTAGGGCCTGAGTAAGTCTTTGAAGAACTGTAGATGGTCTTTGCAGGCCTGGCTTATGTATTCCTTTTGCATTTGAAAGGACAGCTATGAGTGAGAGGTAGAGGCTTCCTCTTTGGAGTCACAGTTCCCTCTAGCAAGCCATTTGGGACTCTTCTTATGTTTACCACAACCTTGGTGGTGGCAACTCCCAGCAACTTCCATATGACACAGCTAGGGTCAACTGCTCCAATCCCAGGCTACTTTTGAAGAGTTATGGTTAAGATGGCCAGGCCACCTCAGCACTGGGAAGCCACCCCCTAATGTGGTTGTTCTTTTCAGGTGACCCTGTACTGCATAGAAGTAAAGTGTGAGGGAAACATGTATGCTGAGAAGGTGGGGACTACTCTCAGGAAATAGGGAAATGAGGTAAAATCTTATTCTGTGGCATAAATCAACCTGGGAAATGTCCTCTCGGAATCGGGAAAAGATGATTTCCCTGTGTGACATTCAACTTAAGGATGGGAAAATAATGACAGGAGACTTTGGAAAAGACAATTATATCTCCAAGTCCCTCTTACAAATAGCCTTGACAGAATGCTGAATCGTATCCCCCACTACTAACTGCTGGTTTCAAAATCCTCTTAAAAGATTTATGAAAGAAATTTTTTTAAATTTGGAATTTAGTCCTATCCACACACTTTTTCAATCTAGTTTCTGTAGAAAAAGTTTTTTTTTTTTAAATAATAAATAGAGACAACCACGAATCTTCCTATGGGGACCTTTAGAAGGAAGGCTTGCTTCTGTCTTGTGTTTCTGTATTAAGATACTTAGATCTGTTTTATGTATGAGTCAGGATACCCTCACTAATATACACAGTATTTAAGACTCCAAATGAGATTTCTTAAGTATTTTATTTTATTCTCTGTAAATGGTTTTGTAAAATCTTGGAAATTTACACCTTGGTTTTGTAGATATATCTTTGCGGGGGCGGGGGGGTTGTCTTGCATGTGTGTTTTTTGTTGTAGCTAAGTGTCACGTTGTCCTTTCTGCAGGTTTTGGTTGAAATGCTTATAGACTTTAATACAGTAAATATATTTTCAGAATATAAACTTTTATATTTCTGTGGTAAATTAGGACATGCGTTTTAGGCAATCTTTTCCATTAATATCACTTCTTCCTTCAGAAAAAATATATATATATTTCATATTGGTTTGGTGCCAATGTCTTGTTTTATTGGTTTTAATTTTTTTATTTAAAATCGGATAGTCTTACATTATTAAGAAATCAAGTCAATTTTCTTTTTCTCTAGAAGTCATTGCGTTTGAAATCTAATTTGAAAATGTATTGAATTTGTGAATAAGCCTTACCATTAGGTTCAATAATCCTTCTGACCTTTCAAAACTACGAGTGTAGTTCAAGATTCCCCCCACCCCCCACCCCCACCCCATAAATTCTCACTGTGTGGCAGTTGATGGAGTTCGGAAAAGAGCCTTAAGCTTGTTTCAAATAATAATAATAATAAATTAAAAGGGTAATACGGGTTGTTTCCTCCATGTAAGCCATGTTGGTGGGCTCACTGCGGTCTGTAATTCACTCATGGCTAATCTGAAGAGAGTGGTGGAAGGAGCTGATGGCGGCAGGGACCAGGTGGAGTCCTCGGCTAGGGTAGGACTGGACCGAGGGTAGGTTTTCTGAGACACTTTCATTCTAGTAGTATGGTTGAGGGCTACTATTGACAGGGAGGGCTGCTAGCTCATCATTTGTTGTAAACAAATGAGATTCCCTGCTCCTAACCCCGCTGGGGACCCCAGCTTCCTTGTGGGTGACTTGAAATTGAAATGTAGCTAAAGTCCGTGCTCTCTGAGAGATGTTAACAAAGTTTACATAAGAGTCTTGCTGTGTAGACAATCTGGAGTCAGTTTCTCTTCCATCATTGGCATCGCCATGTGTCCTTGGTGTTTCTGTAAGGAAGTGAGTCTCAAGCCATACTAGAGTGGAGTGTAGCCAGATGAAGGTCCTGTGGCTGCAGAGAGGGAATTGCAGGTGATCTGGTTAGTCCAGGGCTGTTTTAGTGGCACAGAAATCACAGAAATAGAGTTAAGTCTTAAAAGTTAAGTTATAATGTCTTTTGGTAGGTGGTACTCCAACCGTCACCAGCTGATTCTCCTTACCCAACTTTGAAATAGGATCTTGTGTTTAGGGCTAGGCTTAGCATGTGGTCCATCTCTAGGAAGTGTCTAAAGTCACTTTCTCAGCCTTTGGGATTAAGATTGGCATGTGTCAGTCACAGGATCTGATGCCTGGAGTTAAGCTTCAGCCTTGCGTCTCTGGGTTTGCCTCACCCCAACATCTAGTCTGATGTGGGGAGCTTGTCATCTCCTGGATGTTCAGAGGGTGATTGTTGACTCCGGGAAGTTCAGAGGGTGTAGAGTTCTCCATTCAGTCTTTAACTTGCCGTCGTGCCATTAGTCCCAGCTCGAAGTTATTTTCTAATGTCTACGTTAACAAGATTGTGAAAAAATAATTGCCTTTCATTAAAAACCAAGGACCAAAGATTTCATTATTCCAACTGAGCATGAGTTTCATAAGGTGTAGGCACATCTGGGTCCAGATGTGTGAGCTTCATGGCACAGAGAAACCCTTGCTTCCTCCCACCCCCCGGAGGCATGCTCCCCCCCCTGACTGGCCATTTGCAGAGAAGTTGAGTATCTCTTGAAAAGGCTCTGAAGGAAGAGTTTCTGAGATGGAAACTTTGTATCTCAGGTGGGTGTTTCTGATGTATAGCCTCAAGTTTTTATTTGTCCCATTGTAAAG